AAAAAAGGAGATAGCGAGAAAGAAGAGAATACAGAGGCCGGGCACCAGGAAGAGCTACATCATCACAATCAGCAAACTCCCAGGGCCAGCGGGATCAGGGGTCATCACTGGCCGGCAAAGGAGAGGCCAGATGGAGTTGCTGATAGCATGCCCCGAGGTTAAATTACACACACAGGTCGAGTTTCTGCAGGTAGACAGGTGGCGTCTGCACGACAACAAATGTACTAAAGGCCACTGAAACGTTCACTTCGAGATGAACTCTGGATGTACCCCCCTCTCGACAGTGATGCTCCTGTGGGTTCACGCCCCGGCTCCCACCTGCAGCCTTCTCGGCCCGCTCGGCCCGCAGGTGTCCGGCCTCCCGGAGGACGGCCATCGCCCGGATAGCGGCCCGGAGCACGGCCCAGCGGAACACGGCCACAGGGTCCATGCCAATGAGCTCTCGCACATAGGAGCTGTCGCTGCCCCGCAGCAGGGCCACGATGTCCGGCCGCATGTAGTCCATGTTCTTCTCCCGGAAGTCCTGGTGGGGGATCGATGTGGGCGGTCACTGGGGGGCAGTCATTCACTGGTGCCTACCAAAGACCCAGGGCTGGCGCAGGAAGGGCTGGCATGGGGTGGGGACCAACCTAATTGCAAATCGCAGTTCTTGAGCTATGGCGCCTTGGATATTGGAGCTGGGGACTCGGGGTGTGTTCTTAGAACCCTCGAATCTTGCCCATAGGAGGATCATCCCACGTGGGCTTCTGGGCCGATTGTGGCTTCCCTCAGGCTTCTGCCCATGGTGACGAGCAGACACCTACCTTGATCTGATATTTCACCTTCCCTGCGAAGTGCTGGATGATGAAGGCTGGCTCCATGACTGGGGTCCCCAGGAAGTACTTATTGTCCTCGTGCTGCTGTTTGAACTTGGCCAGCAGGGTCTGGCTCGTGGCATGGGGGAAGCTGGGAACAGAACACGGAACCTTTGAGGCATGAATGGTGGCAAGGCATGATTTATCTGCTGTGTATTTTACCTTGCAGACCTCTGGTGCACGAGGTGGGTGGGTGCATGGGGTGGGCAGAGCAGTGAATTGGCCCAGGGCTCTGTGGGCAGAGGGGTGGGAGCCCAGCCAGGGCTACAAAATTAACGCTGAGTAGCCTGATGTTACCCAGAGGCTGGGTAACATTCTCTTCGCCCTACATGGCTGCTTTCTAGGGGGCTTGGGGCGAAGTCGCTGACCAGGCTTGGTGGGGTCTGGATCTGTGACCCATCGTGGGCAGTTCCTAAGAATAATCCTGGGCCTGGGTGATTTCTGGTCTTGGAGCCATTTGTACCTGAATGTCATGACTTGGACGGGAGGTCCTTCTCCTGCTCCACAGTTGGAAGGAGAGGTGGGAGAGGATCAGGAAGCCGGGCTCTGGTCTGCTCCAGGGACCGTGAGGTTGTGCGGGCAGAACAAGGGACTGCTTGTACCTGACTGCCTCTGCCTCCCAGGAGGGAAATGCTGCTGCTGTTTTGGCACACCCTGCCGGAGCCCAGCCTCACTTTTGAAAATACAGGCACTGGAACGCACGCCCAGATCCCAACCCCGGGGCTCCGAGTTCACGGAGCCGAGGAGGGGAGAGTCTGCAGCTAGGAAACACATCATGTCCAGGGCTGTGAACAGGGTGTGGAGTGCGAGGTATCTATCTGCCTTGAGTGTCCCCCCAAACCCTCAGTTGTTGAGATAATATTTTAGCACACGATCTCAGAAAATCCAAATCGATGTTCAAGAAGAAAAAAAAATTCCATGACGAACAAAAATAGCAAGATTTTAAACAAAGAGACCTGAGTCTGCTGAGCCAGGCCCTGCCCCACGGGCTTCCCCTGATCCGGCCCAGGGAGTTTTTGGGTTGTGACGACATAACTCCTCCTATTGCTGACTCTACTTTTTTTTTTTTTTTTTTTTTTTTAGAGTTGGGGTCTTGCTCTGTTGCCCAGGCTAGAATGCAATAGTGCAACCGCAACTCACTGCAGCCTTGACTCCCTGGGCTCAAGTGATCCTCCTGTCTCAGCCTCCTGAGTAGCTGGGACTGTAAGCACATGCCACTGTGCCCAGCTAATTTATTTTTACTTTTATTTTTATTTTTGCAGAGATGGGGTCTTGCTCTGGTGCCCAGGCTGGTCTTTAACTCCTGGTCTCAAGTGATCCTCCACCTCGGCCTCCCAGAGTGTTGGAATTACAGGTGGAATTACCAGTGTTGGGATTCTCGACCTGGACCCCAGCCTCAAGGGGATGTGTCTGTTCCCCTGTCCTGGACAGGAACTAGGTTTGAGGCAGGAGATGTGCCTGATTCATTTGAGACTGGTCAGCCCCTTGGAGATGTCACTGACAAGGGATGGATCTGATAGAGCTGCTGATGAAACAATATGTGTATGTCTTTCTTATGAGGCAGAGTCTCGCTCTGCTGCCAGGCTGGAGTGCGGTGGCGCAACACTGGTTTACCGCAACCTCCGCCTCCCAAGTTCAAGCAGTTCTCCTGCCTCAACCTCCCTAGTAGCTAGGACTACAGGCGTGCGCCACCATGCACAGTTAATTTTTGTATTTTTAGTAGAGATGGGGTTTCACCATGTTGGCCAAGATGGTCTTGATTTCTTGACCTTGTGATCCACCCGCCTCGGCCTCCCAAAGTGCTAGGATTGTAAGCGTGAGCCACTGCGCCTGGCCAACAATATGTGCATGTCTTAACCCCCAATCGTCGCTTTGAATGTGACCTTATTTAGAAAATAGGGTCTTCGAAGATGGAATTAGGTAAGCTGAGGTCATTAGCGTGGGTCCTAGTTCTACATGGCTGGCGTCCTTCTAAAAAGAGGAGACAGGGCCAGGTGTGGTCGCTCACACCTATGCTCCCAGCACTTTCGGAGGTCAATCTGAAAGGAATGCTTCAGCCCAGGAGTTCGAGGCCAGCCTGGGCAGCATAGGGAGATCCCATCTCTGAAAAAAAAATTTTTAACCAGCCTGGCCAACATGGTGAAAAAACCCCATCTCTACTAAAAATACAAAAATTAGCTGGGTGTGGTGACAGGCACCTGCAATCCCAGCTACTTGGGAGGCTGAGGCAGGAGAATCACTTGATTCCAGGAGATGGGGGTTACACTGAGCTGAGATGACATCAGTTAACTTGAGCCAAGATGGTGGCACTACACTCCAGCCTGGGCGGCAGAGCAAGACTCCATCTCAAAAAAAAAAAAAGAAAACTTAGCTGGGTGTGGTGCCACATGCCTGTGGTCCCTGGCACTTCAGAGGCTGAGACAGGAGGATGGCTTGAGCCTGGGAGGTGGAGGCTGCAGTGAACTGAGGTTGTGCCACTGCACTCCAGCCTGGGCAACAGAACAAGAGCCTGTCTCAAAAAGAAAAAGAGGAGGAGACAGGACTGAGATGAGAGATGGAGACAGAGGGAAGAAATCCGTGTGCAGAGGGAGGCAGGGGCTGGAGCGATGTGGCCAAAAGCCAAGGAAAGCCGGGTCTCCCAGAAGCTGGAGGAGGCAAGCAAGGTCCTATCCTGGAGCCTCTGGAGGGAGCAGGGTCTTGCAGACACTTTGACTTTAGACTTCCAGCTTCCAGAACCATAAGACAATAGACTCCTGTGGTTTTAAGAACTCTGCTTCCCAGGTTCAAGCGATTCGCCTGCCTCAGCCTCCTGAGTAGCTGAGATTATAGGCATGCGCCACTGTGCCTGGCTAATTTTGTATTTTAAGTAGAGACATCGTTTCCCCATGTTGGTCAGGCTGGTCTCGAACTCCTGACCTTATGATCCGTCTGCCTCAGCCACCTAAAGTGCTGGGATTACAGGCGTGAGCCACCACGCCTAGCTGAGATGGAATCTTTCTATGTTGCCCAGGCTGGTCTTGAACTCCTGGGCTCAAGAGCCCACCTGGCTTGTAGTGATTCCTTAGGGGAGCCACAGGAAAGTAGTTTGGTCAGTGTCATGTGATTTCAGTCACTACAACTGGGTGACCCGGAATGAGGCACCTTATCGGCCTCCCTGTCTGCCATCATGGCGCCCTGTGGACTGCAGGGAAGAGGCGTGAAGGCTCAGTAGTGAACTCCGAGCCCGGCAGCATCCAGGTCGCGGCTCCACACACTGCACTGCCCTTTGCAAGGACTTGCCAATCCTGTCTCTTGCTTCACTGCCCAGGCTGGAGTGCGGTGATATGATCATAGTGCACTGCAGCCTCGACCTCCCAGGCTCAAGTGATCCTCCTGCCTCAGCCTCCTGAGTAGCTGGGGCCACAGGTATGCCCCACCATGCCCGCCCCTGTCTCTAGTTTCTAGACACAGGCCCATAATCCTTTGCTGAAAATTCCTGGCAGGTGTGTCCAAGTGCACAATTAATCACACGTGTTGATATTTTCACAGTGAGGTGTTTGTGCATTTCGCACACACAAGCTTTGGTTTTGTGGCCCAGTGAAATCAAGAGACAGAAATTCTCAGGACAAGGCCTGGCGTGGTGGCACGCGCCTGTAATCCCAGTACTCTGGGAGGCTGAGGTGGGAGGACCCCTTGAGCTCAGGAGTTCAAGACCAGCCTGGGCAATGTGACAAAACCCTGTTGCCACAAAGAAATACAAAAATTAGGCTGGGCGTGGAGGCTCACGCCTGTAATTCCAGCACTTTGGGAGGCCAAGGTGGGTGGATCACAAGGTCAGGGGATTGAGACCATCCTGGTTAACACGGTGAAACCCCGACTCTACTAAAAATACAAAATATTAGCCAGGTGCGGTGGGTGGCATGCGCCTGTAATCCCAGCTACTCGGGAGGCTGAGGCAGGAGAATCGCTTGAACCCGGGAGGCGGAGGTTGCGGTGAGCTGAGATCACGCCACTGCACTCCAGCCTGGGTGACAGAGCAAGACTCCACCTCAAAAAGTAAACAAAGAAATAGAAAAATTAGCCGGGAGTGGTGATGTGACCCTGTAGTCCCAGCGACTCGGAGGCTCACGTCGGGGGATCACTTGAGCCTCGGAGGTCGAGGCTGCAGTGAGCTATGATCGCACCACTACACTGTGGCCTGGGTGACAGAGTGAGACCCTGTTTCCCAGGTAAAAAGGAGTTCTTGGGAAAGTCTGGATTTGGGGTAAGACTCTGGGGGCTGTAGAACCCGACCCAGTGCCCATATGCATAATGTGCTGGGATGGACGGGGTGTGGACACTCACTTGCTCTCCTCGTCCAGCAGGTAGAAGAGGCCTGTGGGCTTCTTGCTGATGAGATGGATGCAGCCGACGTTGTCTGTGTAGCCGATGTTGTGCCACGTGATTCCCTCGCCCTGGTACTCCTCCTGCAGGGTTGGTGCGGGGTCAGTAAGTTTCTCATCTCCCAGATATGTAATACCTACGTAACACGTATTCATACAGGTCGAGTATCCCTCATGCAAAAATCTGAAATGCTTCAAAATCGGAAACTTTTTAAACTGATGCATGGCTTAAAATTAATTCTAATAGGGGCCGGGCACGGTGGCTCACGCCTGTAATCCCAGCACTTTGGGAGGCCGAGGCGGGTGGATCACGAGGTCAGGAGATCGAGAGCATGGTGGCCATGCTGGCCAACGTGGTGAAACCCCGTCTCTACTAAAAACACACACACAAAAAATTAGCTGGGTGTGGTGGTGCACGCCTGTAGTCCCAGTTACTCGGGAGGCTGAGGCAGGAGAATCACTTGAACCCGTGAGGCAGAGGTTGCAGTGAGCCAAGATCACGCCAATGCCCTCCAGCCTGGGCAACAAGAGTGAAACTCCGTCTCCAAAAAAAAAAAAAAATGTTAACTCTAATAATACACTTAATTTAACACCGTATAGCCCACCACATATCCAAAATGTCAAAATGTGATTATGTTAACGTAGAACTGACATAAAAAGTAACTGGGAGGCCAAAGTGGGAGGATGGCTTGAGGCCAGGAGTCCAAGACCAGCCTGGACAACACAGCAGGATCCTCTCTGTACAAAAAATAAAAAAACTAGTCAGGTGTGATGGCATGTATGAGTCGTCCTAGATACTTGGGAGGCTGAGGTGGGAGGATGGCTTGAGCCCTGGTTTGAGTCTGAGACCAGCCTGGGGAATATAGTAAGACTCCGTCTCAAAAAAAAAAAAATACCCAGAACTTTCGACTGCCAATGTTACGTGATGCTCAAAGGCAATGCTCATTGGACCATTTCAGATTTTTGGATTTTCACATTTGGGATGAAAATTTTTTTTTTTTAGAGACAGGGTCTCGGTATGTTGCCCAGGATGGACTACAGTAGTGTAATCCTAGGTCACTGCAACTCCTGACCTCAAGCAATCTTCTTACCTTGGCCTCCCAAAGCCTTGGTATTGCTAGCACGAGCCACCATGCACAGCCTCAAATTTTCTAATAATCACACGTGAAAAGTAAAAAAATAGGTAAAATTAACTTTTTTTTTTTTTTTTTTTGAGACAGGGTCTCGTCCTGTCACCCAGCCTTGACCTCTTGGGCTCATGTGATCCTCCCACCTCAGCCTCCTCAGTAGCTGGGACTACAGATATGAGCCTCTGTGTTTGGCTCAAAATGAACTTTGATAATACACTGAATTTAACCCTGAATATCTAAAATGTGATCACGTTAACGTGTAACTAAGAGGCCGAGGTGGGAGGATTGCTTGAGGCCAGGAGTTCAAGAACAGCCTGGGCAACATAACAAAACCCTGTCTCTACAAAAAATAAAACATAAAAAGCCAGCTGGAGGTCAGGCACCGCGGCTCACACCTGTACTCCCAGCACTTTGGGAGGCTGAGGTGGGCGGATCATGAGGTCAGGAGATCAAGACCACCCTGGCCACGGTGAAACCCCATCTCTACTAAAAAAATGCAAAAACTTAGCCAGGCGTGGTGGTGCACGCCTGTAGTCCCAGCTACTCAGGAGGCTGAGGCAGGGGAATCGCTTGAATCCGGGAGACGGAGGTTGCGGTAAGCCGAGATCGTGCCACTGCACTCCAGGCTGGTGAAGGACCAAGACTCCATCTCAAAAAAAAAAAAAAAGAAAAAGAAAAAAGAAAAAGAAAAAGAAAAAAGCAGGTGGGTGTGGTGGCATGTAACTACAGTCTCAGCTACTTGGGGGGCTGTGGTGGTGGAATTGCTAAATCTCAGTGTTTGAGGCTGCAGTGAGCTAAGATAGTTTATGTTCTTTTTTCTTACGTACTAAGTCTTTGCAATTTAGTGTGTATGTCGCCGTTCCTGCACAGTTTAATTCTGACCAGCTACATTTCCGATGCTTCACTGCCAGAAGGCTTAATAGGGAAATCAGCTGGATATTTACATAAACCCACCAGTTTCATTTTCCCATCAGAATCATCAATGTGAAGGAGAAGACATGAATAATGATGGTTGACTATTTAGCTGTGAAGACGCGTCCGGCTGGGCGCGGTGGCTCACGGCTGTAATCCCAGCACTTTGGGAGGCCAAGGTGGGCAGATTGCCTGAGATCAGGAGGTTGAGACCAGCCTGGCCAGCAAAGTGAAACCCCATCTCTACTAAAAATACAAAAAATTAGCCAGGCGTGATGGTGGGTGCCTGTAGTCCTGGCTACTCGGGAGGCTGAGGCAGAAGAATTGCTTGAACCAGGGAGGAGGAGGAGGTTGCAGTGAGCTGAGATCATACCGCTGCATTCCACCCTGGGTGACAGAATGAGACTAAATCTCAAAAAAAAAAAAAAAAAAAAAAAGGTCAGATAGGTTATCAGCGTCCTTGAGCTAAGCAAATCCTTAAAAGGTGACCCTGTTTCTCTCCCTCGAAAGGATTTTGTTAGGACAGAGAAGCCCCCAAATGAACAGTGTCTCAAAACATCCCTGACATTTGCCTCATCCTGGGCTGGGTGGGGTTTCTGGAATTTTCCTTTTGACTGAGAAAAATTCTAGGGCAAGTTCGCTGATGATTTGGGCCTCCAGGGAGATTCCAGTTCTAGTTCATTCCATTTTCCCCTTGGGCTGGGTGGGCAACGACATATTTCCTTATAAAATGCTGCAGCTGTTTGTTATGGGAAACAGCATGGTGGTTCTTCAGAAAAATTAAAAACAGAATTACCATATGGCCCAGCAAGTCCACTGCTGGGTATATACCTGAAAGAACTGAAAGCAGCATCTCGAAGAGATATTTGCACACCCGTGTTCATAGCAGCATTATTCACAATAGCGCAAAGCTGGAAGCAACCCAAGTGTCTACTGAAGGATGAATGGATAAACTAAATGTGGTATATCTAGAAAATGGAATATTATTCAGCCTTGAAAAGGAAATTCTAACATATGCTACAATGTGGATGAACCATGAAGACTTATGCTGTGTGAAATAAGCCAGTCATAGAAAGGCAAATAATGTCTAATTTCACTTACATGAGGCACTTAGAGTAGTCAAAAATTATAGAGACAGAAAGTAGAATGGGCCAGGCATAGTGGCTCATGCCTGTAATCCCAGCACTTTGGGAGACCGAGGTGGGAGAAGTGCCTGAGCTTGGGAGCTTGGGAGCCCGAGACTAGCCTGGGCAACATGGCAAAACCTCATCTCTACAAAAAATGCAAAAATTAGCCAGGCGTGCTGGTGTGCACCTGTGGTCCCAGTTACTCAGGAGGCTGAGGAAGGAGGATCACTTGAGCCTAGGAGTTTGAGGCTGCAGTAAGCTATGATTACACCACTCCAGCCTGGGTGACAGAGAAAGACCCTGTCTCAAAACAAAACGAAACAAAACAGCAACCACAAGAAGTGAAATGGGTGAGTTTAGGGCTTGCAGGAGGGGGAATGGGGGAGTGTTTCCTAGGGACAGAGTTTTGGTTTGGCAGATTGAAAGAGTTCCAGATACGTATGGTGGTGATGTGTGCGTAATAACGCTCATGTGTGAAGGTACTTACTGTGGCTGAACTGAGTATTTACAAACGCTTAAGGTGGTAAATTTCACGTGATGTCTAGTTTACCATGTTAAAAAAAAACGGACAAAAAAGTCCTTTCTGCACCTGCTCCAGTTTGAAGATGTGCTGGTTGAAATAATACTGCAGCTGCTCGTTGGCGTAGTTGATACAGAACTGCTCAAAACTGTTCCTCTCGAAGTCTTCAAACCCGAAGATGTCCAGGACCCCGATGGACAGGCACTGGGAGAGACAGAGAAAATGGTCACTGCCCGAGCGTACCCCCAAAAGGAGCCGGCCTTCATGAGAGGGGCTGGCTCCACAGGCTGTGACCCGCTAGGTCCCGAGGGCCCAATGCTCGGCAGAACACTTTGCCAACACCAGCATGGAACCCATAATTTTTTTTGAGATAGGGTCTTGCTCTGTTGCCCAGGTTGGAGTATAAAGGTACCACCATAGCTCACTGCAACCCTGACTTCCTGGGCTCAAGCAATCCTCCTGCCTCCGCCTCCTGAGTAGATGGGACCATAGATGCATGCCAGAATCTGTCATTTTTGAATAAGGGGCCCTGTGATTTTTCTTTTTTTTTTGAGAAGGAGCCTCACTCTGCCACCCAGGCTAGAGTGCAATGGTGCAGTCTTGGCTCACTGCAACCTCTGCCTTCCAGGTTCAAATGATTCTTCTGCCTCAGCCTCCAAATAGCTGGGATTACAGGCGCTCACCATCACACCTGGCTAATTTTTGTATTTTTTTTTTTTTTGAGATGGAGTCTCACTCTGTTGCCCAGGCTGGAGTGCAGTGGGGTGATCTTGGCTCACTGCAACCTCCACCTCCCAGGTTCAAGCAATTCTCTTGCCTCAGCCTCCCAAGTAGCTGGGACTACAGGCATGCACCACCACACCTGGCTAAATTTTGTATTTTTAGTAGACACGGGGTTTTACCATGTTGGCCAGGCTGGTCTCGAACTCCTAACCTCATGATCCGCCCACCTTGGCCTCCCTAAGTTCTGGGATTACACGCGTGAGCCACCGCACCTGGCTGGGCCCTGTGTTTTCATGCTGCCCTGGGTCCCTTGCATTTTGTAGCCCATCCTGTTTCCTGGGCCTGCCTGTGGGAGGAACCAGCCTCTTGACTGCATATGCCTCGGTTCCGGATGTTCCAGGTCATCTACCAAGGATGCTGGTGCTGAGGACGTGGCCTCCCCTGGCTTGGCTTAAGGGAGCAGATGGGGACACTCACCGAGACTGCCTCTTCCACGTCCTTCTTGTTGAGGAGTGCGTGGTTGATGCGCAGGACAATCCAGTCGAACAGGGCACTGTACAAGGACTTGGCCATGGAGTCGCGGGCGGTGATGGCCTATGGACACAGAAGGGGTGGCTCACCTCTGGCACAGCGGGGCCTGTGCTGGGGTCTTGCTCTGTCGCCCAGGCTGGAGTGCAATGACGTGATCTCGGCTCATTGGAACCTCCACCTCCTGGGTCCAAGCAATTCTCCTGTCTCAGCCTCCCTAGTAGCTGAGATTACAGGTGAGCACCACCATGCCTGGCTAATTTTTGTTTTTACTAAAGATGGAGTTTCACCACGTTGGCCAGGCTGGTCTAAAACTCTGACCTCAGGTGATCTGCCTGCTTTGGCTTCCCAAAGTCCTGGGATTACAGGTATGAGCCACCGTGCCCAGCCAAGATGGCCTTTTGAATTTTTTTTTTTTTTTTGGACACAGGGTCTCATTCTATCGTCCAGGCTGGAGTGCACTGGCACAATCTTGGCTCACTGCAAACTTCACCTCCTGGGTTCAAACGATCTTCCTCCCTCAGCCTCCTGTGTAGCTGGGGCCACAGCTGCACAACACAACTGGTTCATATTTCTTTTTTTGAGATGCAATTTCATTCTTGTTGCCCAGGCTGGAGGGCAATGGCACAATCCCGGCTCACTGCAACCTCCACCTCCCAGGTTCAAATGATTCTCCTGCCTCAGTCTCCTGAGCAGCTGGGATTACAGGTGCGTGCCACCACGCCTGACTGATTTTTGTATTTTTAGTAGAGATGGGGTTTTGTCATGTTGACCAGGCTCATCTGGAGCTCCTGACCTCAGGTGATCCGCCTGCCTCGGCCTCCCACAGTGTTGGGATTACAGGCGTGAGCCACCGCATCCGGCCTTAATTTTTAATTTTATTGTGGAGATGGGGTCTCACTATTTTGCTAAGCCTGGTCTCAAACTCTTGGGCTAAAGCAATCCTTCTGCCCCGGCCTCCCAAAGCGTTGGGATTACAGGCGTGAGTCACTGCAACCAGCCAAGGTGGCCTCTGTCAACACTGGACTCATCCGACACATACCTTTCCCCCTGTCCTAGAGGATGTGCCTGCACATTGGGGCGTTAACAGACCCAGGGGCCCCTGGACGGGCTCTGAGGCCTCTCCACACACTGTCACGCTTCTCAGAGCCACCCAAACTGCTGCTGAGTGAGGAACTCAGGCTCAGGGAGCGGATGGGGCAATTGCGGTAGAACCAGCAAGGGGGGTCTAACTGTAGGCCCCTTGTTCTTCCGGGGGCGCCACGTGGCTGTCACCATGTGCATCAAAGCTCTTTTGTGACTGGACACAGGGGCTGACACCTGTAATCTCAGTACTCTGGGAGTCGAGGTGGGTGGATCACTTGAGGTCAGGAGTTCAAGATCAGCCTGGACAACATGGCGAAACCTCATCTCTACTAAAAATGC